GTGGAAAAAAGTATGGTGTGCCGGAGCAGGGTGAAGGTTGTAGCATTGGAGTTGGAAGTAGAAAGTAAAGCTCGGAGGTGTCTGTCGGTAGGGAGAAGAGAGGCAATGACACAACCCTGCTTGCTAAAACTGAGGAGGACCTGAAGTGCTTGCTGCAGAGGGTCAAGGACTGCAACCTCCAATATGGATTGAGGCTCAATGTCAAGAAGACAAAGATTCTCACCACTGGGCCAATTGGCAGCATCAGGATGGATGGTGAAGAGATTGAGATTGTTCACAGCTTTAGTTTGCTTGGCTCCACAGTCAATACTCTTGGCACCAGTAGCCAGAAAATTAAAAGGCGCATTGCCATGGGAAAGTCTGCTGTTTAGGGACCTTTCCAAAGTTCTGAAGAGCAGTGGTGTCTCTTTAGAGACTAGGGTGCATCTGATACAGGCAATGGTCTTTGCAGTCACTTGTTATGCATCAGAGAGTTGGACAATGACTAAGGAGGATAGAAGGAGAATTGATGATGCCTTTGGGCTGTGGTGCTGGAAAAGAATATTGAGGGTACCATGGACTGCTAGGAAAATAAAGAGATTCATCCTGGAGAGGGTTAAACCAGGCTGCTTTTTGGAGGAAAGGATTCCAAGGCTTCGTCTAACATAATTTGGACATGTTGTAAGGAGGGACTGGTCCTTGGAGAGGGACATCATTTCATGCTTGGGAAGGTGGAGGCACAGTGCAGGAGAGGAAGGCCCTCTATGAGGTGGATTGATTCAGTGACTGGGGTAATTGGGATGGGCGTGTTGGAGACAGTGTGATTGGCACAGGACAGGACAGAGTGGAGTTTAGGGCTGTTGTACATAGGGTCACTATGAGTTGCAAGAAACTCGACAGCACATAACAACAAACAACAAAATTATGTAATGCAGTTGCTGGAGTAGTCTGTAAGGAGTTGTTTTGTTAACCAAAGGGCTGTATCTCCTGCTGTTTGAATTTACCAGATTCATGGAATAAAGTTGGACAGCCTCCTCCCATTATGATTTATAGGTTCAAACCTGATAGAGAGTTGAAATGAATCAGAACCAATGAGTCAGTGATTTTGAGATTTTCAGTATTATAAAGTAAGGACACCTGGTAGCATAGTCTGTAACATGTTTGTTTTCTAAGTGAAGGCTTGAGATTTCTATTCACCAGCTGTTGCATGAGAGAAAGGAATTCAAAGATTTTAGACTTGGGAAGCTGAATGGTGGTCTTTATGAATTAGAACTGACTCTTATGTCCTTGGAGAGGGATATCATAAGTGGTAAGGTTGAGGGATAGCACAGGAGAGGAAGACCCAGGAGGAGATGGATTGCCTCAGTGACTGGAGACATGTGATAAGGTCTGTTAGAGACAATGAGATTGGTTCAGAGTAGGACAGGGTTCAGAAATAATGTATGTAGGGTCACTGTGAGTCACAGGTGACTCAATGGCACATAACAAGCACAACAAGGTCCTGAATACATGCCGAAACCAAACTCACCACAACTGAATCAGTTCTGACTACAGCAGCCCTCCATCAGATTTCTGAGACGATAAATATTTAAGGGAGAAACCTGCTCATTTTTCTCCCATGAAGCAATTAGTGAATTTGAACTGCTAGCCTTTGGTTGGTAGCCTGGCACATTAAGCACTGTACCACTACACAGGCATACCACTTCACGAAATCAAAGCAATTTTGTGAAGGAGGAGTTGATTTTATAGATGGCTTATAGAAGGTTCCATTTTTTAACTATTATTATTTTTGTTTGTGTACCGTCAAATCGGATCTGACTGGTAGAGGAGGAGATTGTCCCTCCTTCTCCAGGAGAATATCTGGTGGATTTGAACTACGCACCTCTGGTCTTGCAGTGCAGCTTCCTGCCACTAGGACACCAAAACTTCCAGAAGGTTCCAATGTTATAGCTGAACTCTACTAGAATATTACAAGAACTTATTTCAAGATCATATTCCTTTCTTTATGTGCTATACCACGGGGGTTTGGACTTTGCCTTGCTAAAAAAACGTAGTTTAGTTGCAGGAATATACCATGATCTGATTTACTTGAGTGACTAATGTTAAAAACACAGAAACAAAACAACAACACTCTCATTTGAATATAAGAGTTCATTTGAGAGCAGTTACTTTTTTTGCATATGTTGTTTGTTGCTGTTTGCTGTCAAGGCAGAACCAACCCATAGCTGATCTTCCAGTGGGTTTCCAGAGGCGAGGAGATTGACCATCTTTGTCCCGTGGACTATCTGGTGGATTCAAACCCACTGCCTTTAGGATTGCAACACAGCTACTTACCACTAAGCCACCACCAGAACTAGATATTTTGGTTCCAGAAAAATCAAATGGCTTGAAGAAGGTAGACACAGTGGGACTTATAAACAGAACTTGCTGTTGTTGTTATGTGCTATGGAGTCTCTGCCAACTCATAGCGACCCTTTGTACAGCAGAACAAAAACCTACCTGATCCTGCACTATTTTCACAGTTGTTGTTAGGTGCTGTCAAGTGGAGTACGACGCCATTTCATCGGGTCAGTCCACCTGGTTGAAGGTCTTTCTCTCCTTTGCTGACTCTCCATCCTTCCCAGCATCATGTCCAAAGTATGTGAGGTCATCATTCTTGCCTTCAAAGAGCACACTCTGGCTGCAAGCCTCCAAAGACATATCTGTTTGTTCTCTTGGCCGTCCATGGGATGTTCAGTGTTATTCTCCAACACCACAGCCTAAAGACATCAATTATTTTCCTGTCATCCTTATTCATTGTCCAGCTCTCAGATGCATAGCAAGTCATTTGAAAGATTCTGGCCTGAATCTGATGCACTTTAGTCTTCTGACGCCACTACTCCTTAATAATTTGGAGAGGTCCCTAACTGCAGATTTCCCAGTGTAATGTGTCTCCTTATTTCCTGACTGCAGGTACCAAGGGTGTTAATTGTCGGTCCAAGCAAAGTGAAGCTATTGATAGTTTCAATGTCCTCTTCATCCATCATGACACTTATCTATCTGTCCAGTGGTAAAAATCTTTGTTTGCCCGACGTTGAGATGCAATCCATACCAAAGGCTGCATTCCTTGATCTTCTGCAAGTGCTCCAAGACTTCCTCATTTTCAGCAAGCAAGGTTGTGTCATCTTCCTAACGCAGGTTCTTGATGAGTCTCTCTCTGATCCTCCTGCCACACTCCTCATAGTCTTCACAGTTACCCATTATTTATCATGAGCAATTGAATTCTGTATTCTCTCTTTACTGAGATCTATTGATACCAATTTATTTCTGACCTAAGTGGACTACTCACCACCCTGTAGAACAGTCTAGATTTGCTCCATAGGGTTTGCAAAGGTTTGATCTTTTTTATGTAAGCAGACTATTAACATGTTACATGCACCCCTTTCTCCCTGCCCCACTCCCATGTTCCCACTGATTGGCAGCTGGATGCTTACCTGCTCAGCTCTTCCTTCCTTGCTACTCCTGGCCTGTCTGCCAGTATTATGACTGACCTTCAGTCTACTTGCTGCCAAAAGACTTTGTGAGATTTAAATTAGGAGGTAGTGATTTGTTGATTATTCTTTTCCAGCAGTATCAGACAAATTTATATTACTTTAGAATAGTTAATGGCAACCTTCTTTTGTTCAATATTTGATTTTGTGGCTAAGAAAAACCTTCAAATCAAATAAGTTGTTTATTATTAACTGTCCTCTTGAACACTGCTAACTGGAATGCATGCCCAGTTTCTGTTGGTACAACACATAGTTTCTGCCTTAAAAGGAGACTGAGTGTAGTTGGAGGAACATGAAATCATTAGAGAAATATTAAAGCAAAATTAGATGCGTAAGTATTTTGGTTTGGGAACAGTGGATAAGATCTTATTTAAGAAGTAAGGTTTGGGTCATTCCTTTAAGGTATGTGTCGTGTAGAAAGAGAGAGTGGTGAGCATCTTGAGCAGATCCAGATCGGCTGTGAGTAGACAGCAGATCGGAAAGCACCTTGCTAGAGTTGTGGGTTATTTTAGGGAGTCGTGGAAGATGAGAAGGAAGAGAATGAGGTCCACATTATATATTTGCCTCTTGCTTGTTATTCCATGTCCACATCTGACATTCCAGTTTAAATGAAATAATGGGCAGTAGGGATCAAAGGTTGGTGGTTCAAACCCAGTGAGTCTGCAGGAGGAGGTAAAGTAGACCCCTCCTGTAACAATGTACAATCTTGGAAACCCTTTGAAACAGTTCTACTCTGGAAGGTGGGGTGGGGAGTGCTGCGTGTCATTTTGAGTTAGATTTGAGTCTATGAGGGTGAATTGATTATTATGTGCTGTCGAGTCATCAGTGTGTAAGAAAAGAAAATTTTTGTGTTTGTTTTTAAATAATCACACATGGTTGAAAACAAAATAAATGACTACCAGTAGGGGGCTGCTTAAGTCAAATTAGTCCATACAGTTGAATGCGAAGGACGGTGCACAGCTGTTAAGAGCATACAAGGAAGCTCTGTCTTCTCATGAAAAGACATCTAAGAGTTCTTGCAAAGGAGAGAACAGTGTGTAGAGTGTGATGTCTTTTCTGGTTGGTCCTTTATTAAAATGATTGGAATAAGAATATAGGCTCATTTTGCATGTATGTACATAAAAAATTTTGAAAGTACATAAAATATGGTTGAGAAATGTAGGAACTTTGTAGACAGAGGAGAAGGGTGAGATTAATACCTTTCACTATCTTATTCATGCTAATTTTTGATTTATGAAGCAAGTGAAAATATTTTCCACTCAAATAAGAATTTGAAAATGGTCAGTGCCATTTGAAATATACTAATAAAGATCTTCAACTTCAGAAATTAAAAAACATGATTCTAACAATTAAATAAGGATTTTTAAAAAGATAGATGTTGTATGCTATTTTTCTTCATGATTGTAAAAAATTAAAAGTATGTTGCACTTTGCTATATGTTTTTTTCTTCATTACAGACAGTTTCTTGATGCTATCATCTTTTTTTTTCAGCCCTGATGATATCGGGACCTGCTGGTACATCCTCCTGTCTGGTTCTGTGTTCATTAAGGAATCCATGTTTCTTCCAAGGAGCAGGTATTGTGTAATAGATTATCCATATAGCTTGACAATTTTTTTTCTTCTATATTTGTTTCATACAAGATTGGTCTACATTATGTTCTGTTGATGTATATTGTGCTTCATACATCCCTTGACTTACGTTGTTTTTCGCACAATCACTTATATTTATACATTTTAGAAAATCATTCACCTTTGATCTTTGCTGACCAATGCCTTGTCTTTTTAGTTTGAAAATTATTGCAAAGCTTTTCTGTCTTTTCTGGTTGATACAATTGTGAAGCAGCCCTTGGAGGTATTAATACCTGAATACTTAAGAAATTACTGTTTTCTATTGTAAATACTGTTCCAGTCTCTTTAGCAAATGGCCAAGAGAAAAAAGCATGCAGGTGACATACTTATTTTCTGCTTGAATATATCAGCTGTGTTTAGGGCATAGGGAATAAAATCTGTCTCTAGAGGCTTACGTAAAAGGGAGATTAACTGTAAGGCTCTCATAACAAGAGTCTCATAAGCACGTAAAGAGAGGCAAAGAAAGTTCAGGAGACCACATGGGACTAGAAATAGAAAGGCAGTACTTGTTGACTTTTCTGCCTCTCAGGACCATATGGTCTTTCTTTTTTGTATCTCTATGTAGATTGGATTCTTTGAAGTTTAGTTTCTTTCTTTGACTTTGACTGACTCTTGATTAGTGACCTTATGTCCCCAATGTCAAACACCCATTTGACGTAGTGTTTGTGTTTTCACAGAGACTTTTTTAGGAGGTAATCTAATGGGTTCAGCTAGGTACAGATGCAGACTTCTTTCCTTTCAGCTGTGGTCAATGTTCATGGTGAATCATGGTCAGGAACCCCTGAGTGGTGCACATGTTTAAAGCATTGGCTAACCAAAAGGTTGGAGGTTGGAGGTATACCCAAAGAGGTGTCTCCAATGAAAGGTTCACCAGTCTTCTTCTAAAATATTAATTATTGAAAATACTGTGATGCTCCTAGTGTTTGACACGATTAACATCATCTTGAGTCAGAATTAAGTTGATGGCAACTGTTTCTTGATTTGGTTTTCCTGTATTTGGTTACTGCAAAGTAACTAATACAGCGTTTGCAGTTAGCTTTTTTCCTTAATTGCATATTATTGATAATGAAATTTATTCCTGTTGACTAAAGATTTTTAAATATCAGCTCAGTGTACTTTTATTTATTACGTAACTTTTTTGGGATTTTCTTTAAGTGTATTTATTAAGTGTTAGGTACCTTTCTTTAATGAGGGAGTTCTGGTGACTTAATGGCAAGGAACTGTGCTGCAATACTGAAGTGTGTGGTTCGAATCTACCAGTTGTTCCAGGGAAGAAAGATGGTCAGTCCCCTCCTGGGCAATTAACTGCCTCTGAAAACCTTCCAGAGGTCAGCTATGGGTTAGATCCAAGCAACAACTCTTCTTTTCTGTGCCTAACTATGTAATGAAATGTGTTGAGGTATTTAGTAAAAATACTTGAATATATTCTGATAAATTCTTTCTGAAAATGCCAGGAACATATTAAGCATCTTTTTTATAGATATGTGACAGTATGTATAAAAGGAGCTAGTCAGTGAGGCAAGGAGAGGGAACTTGACACTGTAGGAAAAAATCAGCTTGGGTGTGGTAGTGGGAGGGAGTGATTGAGGTGACCAGAATGGTAGTCAAAGTAACAGAGACAGTTTTTTCTTCTAATTAAAGATAAATCATCTCTGCTGTACTTCTCTTGTCACCTTGCCCTTGTTCTTCCCAAGATCAGCTTCACAAGCACTGTTCTCTTTGGGAAATGGTCCTTTGAGGCAGGAACATTCTACTTTCTGTCTTTATTCTGATAGCAGTAGCCATCGTAATGGCAGTAACATTGGCAGCAGTGGTCATAGTAATAATAGAAGCAGTAGACATAATAGTCATAATATTTACTTGTAACATTAGTAATAAAATGATGATAAGATAATGAAGACTTTTATATAGTGATATCTAAATGCTTTACTTGTATCCAGTCCTTTAATTTTACAACAATCCTTTGAGGTAAGTACAATTATTACCTGTATTTTAGGATGGTGTTACAGCCTAGACCTCCTGGAATTCTCCTAGAATTCCTGGAGAGACTCGGTGCACCAGTTCCTAAAACCCAAGAATTCTGATTCCCAAAGGAATTAAAAGTTGAACATCTTAATTATTTCACAGCTTCAAATACAGAATCTACTGTTTGGCCTCTTTTGAGAAATTCTTTTTCACTTTCTTTCTGAACCTGAAAGAAACAACAGGTAAATAATGTTTGAGCACTAACATGTTTTTAAAATGATAAATAATTATAATAAACCGAACCAATTGCCATTGAATTGATTCTAACTTAAGGTTTGACCCATGTATGTCAGAGCAGGAATTCACTCAATAGGGTTACAGGTGACTTTTTAAATTACCAGAACTTTTGTTTTAAGATGTCTTTGTGTGAATTTAGTGTCTGAATAAGTTAACGATTAACACCATTTGTTGTTGTTGTTAAGTGCCTTCGAGCCATAGACAACTCATAGTGACCCTGTGAATGAAAGACTTGTATAACTTTCATCCTTTCTCCAAGTTCATAGGGTTTCTGGAGGCAAGCTCTTTCGGAAGTGGATGCCATTCCTGCTTCTAAGCCTGTTTTAATCTGGGAGCTCCACCAAACACTGTCCACCGTGGGTAACCATTATCACATTTGACACATCAGTGTCACAGTGTTTAGCATCACAGCAACCACGAGTTACCTCTCTGTACAGCAAATGGACAGACCAGTGCTGTATACAACTAGAAGAATGTTTGCCCCAAAACAGTTAAAACCAGGCCTTCAGGCCCGACTGAATTTAAGAACCAAAGCATGGTTCAAATTCCGTGAGCGCCATCGTTCCACATTCCTCCATACTCAAGCTTTCCCATTGGCTCTCACCACCCCAAAAATGCCTATCTAGGAGCATTCCACTGCTTCCTCAGTCTCCTATTCTGATGCTCCTATTCATAAGTTTCTTTATAGAATCTAACTTCTTTTTTTTTTTTATTTTATTTTTTTTTAGAATCTAACTTCTTGAATGATTTGTTCAGCATATAGACTGAGTACACACGAGGGAAGGATACATATATAAACAAAACATGAATAAAAGTCCTGAAGCCTTTCTATAACTATCATCATTTCTCCAAGTTTATAGACTTTCCAGAGGCATGTGGTTTAGGAAGTGGATAGCACTCCGGCTTTCAAACCTGAATCAGTCTGGGAGCTCCGATAAACACTGCCCATGTTGGGGTAGCCCACTATGGTATTTGATGCACGTATGGCCCAGTTGTCCATCATCGCAGCAACTCAGTATGTTATTTCTGCTGTACCACTCGGAAGAGTCCTCATCCAAAATGAAAAATTCCAGCATATCCAGCTGCTGGTGGACTGTTGGCCAGAGACCCCCAATTCATCTGGCGAGTCCCCTCTCCTGACACCCACTTGGGAAAAAAGAAAGCCTTAAGAGCCTCAAGTGTTCTTTACGTGTCCCTCCTCAAGACGTGAGAGGCCATCATAAGATCCAACACCATTTAGGAACTTAAAAAAGGGATATTACTACATTAATTTTCAAAGCTTAAAGGAAAAGTCATAATCCTTCACCAAAAAATAATAATTTTAAATATTCCTGAGTTTCCCCCCTTCTTTATATGTATGCATAGTTCCCAGTTGTGATCTTGATACAGAGTTTGGTAATTTGCTTACTGCAGTTAAAGTCTAGATTTATTTCTCAGCACTGGGACTAGTGGTAAGAATCTGTGCTGCAGTCCTGAAAGGCATGAAGTTTGAATTCACCATTTGCTATGCAGGAGAAGGATGAGCAATTTCCTCTTGTGCGATTAACGATTAATGTCCTCTCAAAACCTGTTGGAGGGTCAGCTATGAGTTGATTCTGACTTGATGGTACACAACAAAAAACAATATTAAAAGCTCTTTATAAACATTGACATTTTATATGTCTTTAATATTTTAACTTTCCACAATTTAGTTAGTAAATAGTAAATTTTGGTACTTTAAGAAAATTTAATATTTAAAAGAATTGTTACAGTGAATGCAATTAAGAATTCATATATCTTAAAGAGAAAACTATTCACTGACTTCCTCACTCTCTTAATTGAGTCCTGTTACAGTGAAGGAATCTGTGGTGACCTTCCTTGATACTAGTCATATTCAGCTATTTGAGTAACAGCTTGTTCTAACTTCTGGAATGGGAACCCAATGTTCAGAAAACTCCCATTCTAGAAGAAAGAAAATGTTATCATTCGGCCCTCTTTCATGAACACATTGAATTCTGCATTTTTAAAAGTGACACGAAAGTTTCTCTTTCTTGTTCGCCAAATGTCAGATACTTGCAAGCCAGTGACATTAATGGTATGAAGGATAGAATGGTGTTTCAGGCTGAATGACAAACTTAGTACTATATATAGATCATTCCTTCATGCTGCACCTGGTGACATTTGCTCTGTCCAAGTTGTTTGTTTTCTTTGGGGTTGTTGCCTTAGGAATAGAACCTAGATTGTCCTAGTAAGAAAGAATCTCTCTTCTGGTACTGTGCTAAAACTTATCATTAGTAGTTGATGTGAATTTCTCTCTCTAGAATATGTCAAGTTGAATTAGAGAGTAATCTGAGTTAGGTGTTATTAACCCAGTCGTAGAAGACAGCTAGCTAATGCCAGTTCTCTGTACTTACTATGTTTTTTTTGGTCACATTAGCCTGGAAATGGATGATTAGTCTGCATAAGTATTAGTATACATACAAAGTAAACTGATCATCTTGAAAGTTTCAAGAAACTTTTGACGTGCAGTTCATTCAAAATAAGTAAAAGTGTCTTGAACAACATTTTAACGATTCTAAATAATTGCAATTGCTTTGATATCTCATTTTATTAGATGAGATTATTGTTTTAGGTGCTGTCTAGTAGAGTATGACTCTTAGTGACCGTGTGAACAACAAAACTGAACCATGTCCCATCATGTGCCA